TTTTTTTTTTATTCCCCCCCCCCCCATTTGGAAGCTGGATGAGAGTTGTAAGATATTAGTGTTATCAGTGAAGTCCAGTACTGTTCTTATATGCTCCTTTTTAAGGAAAAAAGAGAAGAAGCACCTAAATAACCATGATCACAAGTGAATATAAGCTAAACAATAAAGAGCTGGGTGAAGTGGTGAGCACTCGCTTGCAGCAGCCAGCTGATCACCATTTCTGTTTCTCAGCATCTTTCCACACTTCTTGTTCTTAAAAGAGTTCCTTACTCTGTGGTCTGCCAAATATTAAAGTCTGTTTGGAATCTGTGTTTTGACCTCCTTATCTGGGTGTAGAAGTCAATACCATTTCAGTTAAAGTCAATGATCAGAACATGATGGCCCTTCTTATTTAGGTTGCCTGTTTTCTTTTCCTTATTTAGGATACTTTATGGTGTGGGTGATTTATTTGGGACAGAAGTAGGTTTTGACAAGTTAGTTTGGGGCTTTTGTTTAAGGGGCTCAGCAGTATTGCTATGATTTCTTCAAATCAAGTCTGATGGTTACTGTTCTACATTCTTGGCACAGGGTTCTTCTGATGAGACCCCAAACAAAAATTACCCATGAATTGCAGTCTGCTGTCATATGTTGACCCACCTAAAATCCCATTCATTGGCATGGATGGATGGTGATGTTTTTGCAATATATGTATGGGCCTTCAACAATTTGTGGTCAGTTTGAGTCTCCACTGATCAATTCTACTTGAAGTCACTAGAAGAATGGTTTGTGAAATCCAGATTCTTTTTCAGAAGGGAACACTGGAATATGTGTCTTGGTCCCTTGGCCTATAGATAGTGAGTGAATTATTAAGACAAATTTATCTAGCCTGCTCTCTGAGGCTTCCTCCCATGCTTTCCCTGATCACCCTGATTTTCCACTCCCAACCATTGCTCAGGAGGAAACTGAAAAAGTGAGGGTTGCTTATAACCATTATCTTTCTTGGACCTTTTCACTTTACAACTAAAGCATGTGGACCTTTTTGCCTTACAACTATGTACATACCAAGTGTTCATTAGTTACATGCCGAGAGTAATTCCATTACTCCTGGATAGTGCTGGACTATTATGTAGATGCTTACTTCTGGGTTTTCTTCCTGTTTTAAAGAAGCCAGGAGAGTTAGAACACTTCATTATCAGAAACATGATTTTAGAGAGAATGACGGCTGTTTCCCCTTTGAGAGTCAATCAGTGCCTGCTGATGGCGTTTCTTCACTTTCCTGCCTGTGAAGAGATGAGCTTATATCCAAATGAACCCCAGGCTGTCACACAGAAAACAATGCTGTAGCACACAAAATGTAATATATAATATTCTTTAAATGTCAGGGGAGTTTTCAGGATTTTTTGCAAAGATCTTTTATGTATTCTAGCAGGAGGGGGAAAAATAAGATCTCTTTGCAGTTGGACTATTGTCATATCATTTGGACAGTCTGAGGCTGTTATTCCAAAGAATGTTCAAGTTCTGAAAAATAAAATGCAATGGAAGTTGCAACCAAACACAGCTTTGGTTTCTGTGCTGTGCTGTTGCCTGAACTAGGGCAATGTATCTATTTAATGTTAGACAACGGACATTTGTAAAAAAGTAAAAATTCTTAGTACCAGCATTGTCCTGCATTTGAACCTGTGAACAAGAGGTGCAAGGCTCCATATCCAGTATCATTATACTGGTTCCCTTATGTACAGTACATGCTTATTTAACATTTTCAGATTATCTTCATTATTGTGTTTCCAAGTCAGTTTTCATGCTGCTCATTGTTCTTTTGCAAGTCGTCTGTGCTCAACAGGATTTCTATGGATTTGAACAGCTGTTCAGTGGAACTAGAGCTAGAGTGACAAATTAGAAACTCATGGGCAGAACTGATTCCATTTCTCATGCCATTTGAGAAAGACAGTAATAACACTGCATTATACTTTTCCCTTCCTATCACTGAGAGGAAATCATGATTACTAAAGGCTGATGAAGATTTTAGATTAAATCATTTACATTGTATACAGTAATGGTGTGCTTATGAATGAATTAGTCATAGTACATTGTCTTCTATAAGCACTTGAGTTGGAAGATTTCGAGATGAGATTCTTTTCTCTGGGATTACACTCACTGAGATGTTTTTGTAATTTTGCATTCCATGCTTTAAGAATAAACAAGCTTTTGCTACACTTTTAAAGTGTAGATCAGGATGCAACTTTGAAGGGATGGATAGAAGGTAAGATATATTGTTTATACTACGTGATATGAAATACATTTAACACTGCAGTCCAGACAGCAGTGAACAGACATTTAGTCAAAACTCCTATCTTTCTCAAAGTTGCACAGTCTAAATGGGTAGACCAGTGGAAAACAACCAGGAAGAGAGAATGTATGTTTTACAAAGCAGGACCTGTCGTGGAGAAAAGAGGGATGAGATTGACTAGCCTGAGGTCACAAAGCCTGTAACAGAATCAGTAAAAGAAGCTAAATCTGCTTTTATTTCTAGAATGAAAACATTTTAATTGTGGTATAAGATCTTCATTCCTCTCTTAATTCAGGAAGCAGATTCAAGCCATAGTCAAATGACAACTCAGACCAGCCCTTGCAATTTCTGAAGTCAGCACCAGAGCACTAGACACTACTACCTAAAGCCAATAAAACTTACAGATAATGCCCTGGCCTTCGCCTGCTTTCTGATTTGGGGGAGGTAGGGGTGCCACCTTTGCTCTGAGAAGGAGTAATATGAAGGTCAAAGACAAATCTTTTTTCCCCCTTTGCCCTGATTCTCAACAAAATTGCCTCACACTGGGGTAATCCAGTGCTTTGTAGTTAAACTAATAATACGTCTGCTTTTCCTTGGTCAGAATTCCCAAGGCAACCACACTAACATCTGGGAATGTAAACTGGAAATCCCTTGAACAAGTAATTCATCCAAGGTCCTGTGTAGCACCATGCCAGTGTTTAGTCCACGTTTCAGACTGCAGAACAAGTGCAGCAGAATTAATAATGTAAAGAAAAAGTAGTTGTGATACATGTGGAGGTCATTTAGAGGCTTTACCTGATGGACTCAAGAGTAAAACACAAAGCAAACTGAACGTCGTCCCTTTGTGGATCCAGAAGTGTGGGGTTTTTTCTGGCTCAGCCTGATTTGGAGCTGTTGCCTTTTCCCTGCTTCCTTCTCCCTTTGTCTCCTTACCTGCTGATGCAGAACCTGGATTGGAGGAATTTCCTTTTATCCTCTCTGAAGAAATTATCATCAAGTGATCTTTTCAGACAACATAAAACCTCTGAAAACAGTCTTTATTCCTTGGAGGAAAGTGTTTTCAAGCTCCCTGAACATGGTACTATGAAGGAAAAGGCTCCCAATTTACATCTGCCACTAGAATGTCCACTTCTACTTTTAGTTACATACTTGAACCCTGTGTGCCTTTTTCGGCCTCTCCAGAGCATTGTTTATAGGGCTGGTGACAAAGAGCTTTAGAACATGGAGCCAGTTTAACAATCAAAAGTGCCACCTTGGGACTGTATCCTCCCCTGGAAGGAATACAGCTCCATGTGGTGGGTTGCCTTCATTTCTACCTGGTGATCCTGTTGGTTTGCATATGGAAAGATGACTTGTTTTACTCGTGTTACAATTTTCTCTAATTGTACTCTGTAGCATTTGAGATGGGTTTTATTTCACATTCAAGCAGAATGCCGCAATAAAAAGCCACCTTGAAAATAAAAAGAAATAAAAACAAATGTGTTGGCTGATTGGAGCTTGAGCAGGGGCATACTTACGAATGAATTAGTGAACTGACCTTAGGGAATATCTGTATTAAATTGATGGAAAGCTCTAGTGAAGCAGGACTATCTGTAGTGAGTATCAGTATCGCCCCTTCCTAGTCTACTTATTGTAAGATGGATAAAGCTTCAAGCTGTGTTTAGGCTTTGCTCAAATCAAAGACAGAAGAAAAGGGATAAGAAATAATCTACGCTACTATCAGGGTGGTGGATGTGAATCTTTCTGGGGACAGACCTAAGATTTTATCTAATTGTACACTGTTACTTTCAATTTTTATTCTTAAACTCCCATTTTTGCTTTGTTTCAGTATGGAAGAGAAGACAGTGATTGGGCAGTGCTGGTATCGTGAAGGTGGAAGAGTTCAGACCCTTCAGACAGAACAGACATGACTAATAACTTCTGTAGCTGCCTGTGCATAGCGTAGTTTCTGTATCAGTTTGCTCCCCAGGATGATTGTTTCCACAATCTGGTGAATGTGAACACAATCATTTTGATTTCTACTGTAATCCTGTTAGTAGAAGCCCATCTTCTTGGTAGAGGTGCTAAATGTTAGCAATACAACTTTCCTGATGACCTTTCTTAGTGCCTCCTTGTGTCTTCTGTACAGTCTGAAAACTTGTAAAATGCTCTTCAACTGCTCTTCAGTTTGTTGGGTTTGTTTTAACTGCCATTCCCATTGTCACATAACACAAAGATGTTGCCTGTTAGTTGGCCACAGGGTTCTATTGACATTATTCTGCCTTTTTCTCTGCGTCGGGAAAACACTGAAGTTTAGCCATATGCTCTTTCCTTTTCATACTCTGCTTGTGTGGGAGATTTCCTGAGTTTGCACAGCCCTCTAGGTCCCCTGGTGCATACTGTGTCAAATAACACCTCTGTCCTGTAGGCCAAAATTCTCCCGAGTCTATCTAACCTGCAGCAGGCTCCCCATCAGGCTATTGCCTTTCCTTCCGAGGGGATACACTGTGGCTGCTTGGGCAGTGCATACCTCTCTCGTAGTTTAATGCATCCTTCCACATGTGATTTACAGGGCTGGGCCAGGCCCTGCTCAGACAAGAATCCCCCTTTTGTCTGACCTAGCACAGAGCTGGGCGCTGCCAACGCAGCATTGCCTTCCCAGTGAATGTCTAGAAAATAAGATTAGACATCTGTGGCTGTGAAAGCTGAACCACTTTTCAGGGCAACCCAGCCTTTGGACTGAGGAATTTCTTTCACCATCCAGTCAACGTAATTTAGATCAGCAAAATGTTTTCCTTGTCCCCTTCACCGCTTGCTATGAAATGTATCCAGCCTCCATTGACACACATGTACCTTAACAGGACCTTCCTATTAAGGAACAAGCGATGCCTAGCACAAGAAGGAAAGAGATTTCACTCAAAACCCCCATTTTGTTCTGATTAAGCACATGCTTCTTCACATACTGCTACTCTCTCACACGCAGTCTTAATACAATTTGGGAGCAACATAGAGTGTGTAATCCCATAGTTAGGGAAATAACTTCTGCAAATGTTTGCTAACAATTATATTGTAATATTTATTAGCTTTCTCCTTTTGCACACAGCTTTGTTGAACAGCTTTAAGATATCTCTTGCCAAAAAGGATCACCGTGTTTTATATCAGTATTCCAAAGTGCTGCTTCAGTGTAAAACTGTTGGAACTTTATTGACACTAATGGAGTCCTGTAAGAAGTAAAAGCGAAACATTTATTGCCACAATTTGCAGTAGGAGATGCACCAGTATTAAGGGAAAGTTTTAGCACTTTATTTTTTTTTAAGACCCAACAATATCTCTCCCATGCATTATAAATCCTTTGTAGTTACTGACATTCGTTAGCGTTTTAAAACATTTTAACAGTTTAAAAAGGCAAAATGTGATTTCTAACAGACCATCCATGCCTTATGCAACTGCTAAAAAGTAGCCTTACGGCTTTCCTGTCCATTTTTGGTCAGATTTTAAAGACAACCCCTACTTACCCATCCCTTTCTTTTGCTCCCTCAAATCATAACTTTTCCTGTCTTTCTCTGCAGTCCGATCTGATCTTTTAATGAAGAACAGTTGAAGGTTCTCTCTGACAATGTAACCATTGTTAAAATGTGTTAGGTGGTTTTCTCTTTAGAATACAACTGCAAGCACAAAATGTTGTTTTGCTGACAGTAGCCATAGTACTCTGTGTGTCTGCTTTTCTGACCATTTGAATCTATATCGTGTCCTGGTCTTTGTTCAGTGCTGCTGGTAGTCTTTCTTTTTTATTTAATTATCTGGGTGGGGAAATTAACGTGGGGAATATGTCAAGATACAACATGGGGTAGAGGGTTTTATCCAATGAGACTAGTATCGTAACTAAAGAGTGCCTTTAACTAGAGTGTGGCATGGATCGCTCTGTAGATCATGTAATGAACAACCACATGTGGCTTCCTGGTACTGAACTATCTAATCTGTCCCCTTGTGTTCATTTTAGACTTAGCAGCAAAAGGAAAAGTGGAAATATCTCATTGCAGATGAGTGGCAAAGCGGTTGTACGATACCTTAACATCTCAGGATGATGATAGAGATGACAGGTATCCTATATCAAAAATCCCCACAAAGGCATCAATATACCAGCAGGAATCTATTCGCTAGTCAGAATGAATAAGGACTGGTTAGTAGAATTATTTTACTGTGGTGTAAACCTAAAAGTTGTGTAAAACTCCCCTTAAATTGGATGTAAGTAATTTAATGTGGGGAAACGAGGTGTTTCGTTTATTGTGGTTTGCACCATTTCCTGCAGTGACCAGAGAGACACCTTTCCTTTTACTGCACATTTTGAGCTGATGGAGACTTCAGAATGAGGAGAGTTGAAACTGGTGTTTCCCACCCAGACCCACAGAAATGCACAGACTTTTCTGGAAGAGAAAAATGAGAATATGTAGTGTGTGTATGTTAACTGTTGTCTTTAACATCCTGGTTAATTGCTTTACTTCGACTGTGTCAACTCAAAGTTGTGCTTGTTTCCTAATGGGATCCAGGTGAGTAGGTTCTAGATTTTAAACTTTAAAACTTAAATAAGGGAGCTGGTGGATCAGTATAATACAGGAAATTCTTCTGGTGTTGCATGCTGTCCTACCCTGTATTTTGCCACTGCTTTTTTATCCTGTTAACCAAAGGAGAGAAATAATATGTGTAAATAATAGTGAGTATTTGGTATTGCATTCTTCCTATTTTTGCCTGTAAGATTTAGGAGGGAACTGTGGTATTCCCTGAGCTAATAATAGATTGTAAAAGAACATCTGCACATCTTTTCTCCATGTGCCCTATTTGTTTAATTGCAAGAGATTTACATAGAAAGAGTATGGTACATCATAACTAGGCAATTATCTATTCTTCATCACTTAGTTATGGTTCTGCTAATTGATCATTTAAGACATAAGATACACTAGCATTAGGAGAATTTGAGACTGTTCAAAAAAGATCAACAAATTAATATTGTTGTGTGATATTTGCATAATTGGCTGCAATTATTTAATGTTTAATTGGGTTGATCAAATGAGATTCAGCCTTTCACATGCTTATGTTTTACAAACACTGGTACTTTAAAATGATAATAACGAACTCTCATTTTCGTATGTTCTTTCTTCTCCCCTTCATTCTTTTGATTATTATTTTCAGTATTGAGCATGTCCTTAATTTTCAGTTTGGTGAGCATGATTCATGCCTGGGAAAGAAGTCCTTTAAATGAGAGAACTTTTCATGAAATTAGTACTTCATACAAGCCGTCCTGATGCCAAGAGTTATGGCTTCAGTAACTGGCATTACTTAACTAGATTCTTAACTGCAAGGGGGGCCAATTCGCTGAGGATACATAGTGACAGACTCTGGTGAGAATGCTAATAAAGGTTCCTGCTTAGGGTAGATGATCTGGTTTGTAGTAGTGCAAGGCAAACGTGATTTTTCTTGGGTATAAAGGGGAAGTCTGATAAGACCAAAGCAAGATCGTGAGAGATGTCTCTGCCCAGCCATTGTTTACACCTGTTCAACTATCTCAAGCCAAAAAGCAGTTGTCCTCCACTCCTCCAGATAAGCTCTTGTTCAAGGTTTACCTAATTCATTGATCCCTTCTACATACTTATTTTATACTTATTTTTCCTTAAGCATGAAGAGTGGTGATTTGGAAAAATGTGATATTTGAAAGAGTCATTTGGAGTGCAAGTTATTTGAAATGTCTGTCTAATACATGGTCTTCCAAGGAGGTAGACAGAAAAACAGCTGGGACTGGTCTCAGAGCCACCTAATTAGAGGAGGAACCCTCTCAAATTCAGTGGCCTCTCCAAAACAATCTGCATAATCTCAACAGATTGCTTAGTGTGAACTGTCTTGATAGTGCCTCCCTATGAAATAGAACAGAGAGATGGCAGCACAGCCTGCCAGGGTATGGCACGTTGGCACTCTCTGTGTGAGAATCACCCTGCTGATTGTAAGTTTTAATGTCATAGTGGCATGCTCGTATACTGAGAGGTGGGCAAGTGTAAATGATGGCTGAGCGTGCCCTGAGCTGGGCCATTCCTGACCGTCTTTCTTTCCTTTACACAGGGTCTTGAAACACCTTTTCCCCCGCCTCTTATCATGATGCCACTAAGTCTCCTATTTAAAATTGACCATTTAAGCAAATTTTGCATCCTTTTTGCTTTTAGCTGTAGTGACAGTTAGAAAAAAAATAAAAAAGTGTTTTGTTCATCTTGAAGGTTTCAGGGATCAGAATTGCACTTTACCACCTGTGCACACGTAGTGCCTGAACAGACTGCCACTGACTTGGTGACTCTGGACAAGGTATCTAACCTCTTTGTACCTGCAGGGGAGTAGTACTACCACTTATACCACTTTTAACTCCAACCCAAACTTTTGCATAAAAAGCTATTTAATACGGATCAAATAAGCTTTCTAGAAAGCTTTTTAAGCATCAGAGAGAGGTGCCATGTAAAGTCCAGTATTTCAAAGATTTCTTGAGAGTGGAAGTATCTTGATTATGCAGGGAAAAAAGCATTATTTGAATGAGAAAAGTATTTGTTTGCTGTATGAAGCCATAAAAAAGTAAAATATACAGTTCAGAATGTAAAGTAGCATACAGAAAGATCTGGAGAAGATAATTCACCTCCACCTCCCAAACAGTGCTATCTTATTTAAAAGTGATGCTTGAAGAAAGCATTGCACCTCTCACTCTAGAGTCATTACAACTATTCTAGAAGTACACTTTACCATGTAGCACTTGACCACACATTTTCTGAACGCAATATTTAGCAAATGGTAAGTGTCAAAGAACTGAGTTTTACTGCATTTTGCCACTATTCTCAAGATTTGGAAAAATAATAATTCATAGGTCCTAAATCATCTAAGTAAAGTAACATCTTAATAAGCGCTTCTATTTTTAGTGATAATAGCAAAAGAGAGTACTGGTATTGCATTGGTGAAAAATATTGTTGTAGCAATCCTTCTGTCCATGCCTTGCTTTAAGCATGATGGTTATTAGTGGGAAGTCCAGGATTTTTTCCCTGACTCTGCAAAATCTGAATGCCAACTGCACAGTTGGAAAATATATCCTGAACTTCATAAACAAAACTAACTTGTCCGTTACCTTGAACTAGAACAGTCAAGTACATTGGGCTTAGCAGGTGTGGAACAATACTGAATTAAAATAGTCAAGCCTTACATTTGTAACAGATTTTGGAATTAGTAGCTCAGAAATAAGTCTCATTGAGCACACTAACAAGGTTAATCACACCTGAAATTACTAAAATTAAGTGTTTAAATTCACTAGTGGTAACAGCACGGCTAGATCCTCATCCCTTTCTCTGAAAATGAATTTATACTCTTTGTTTATCTTAAAACTTAATTTATTATGTCTGATTTTAACCACAATCTGAATTCTCATTACATGCTTTAAAATAAATAATCTTACATTTCATGTTCATAGGAAGGTCTTAAGAAGGATTTAAGACCTTGATATAGAGTTTTAAAGTGTATACATTATCTGCTGGATAAGGTTAAGGCAGAAGAAGAGAAGGCGACTTTGTAGAAGTAATTAATTACAGTGTTCCAAATGCTTTCCAACACTGATGAATTTTCGTTTTTACCAAAGAGGTATGCAGGTAATAGAGGATAAAATAAGCATGGTGCTTTTTTTCTTTTTTTTTCTAAGCAAGAGTTGGGAAAATTTCCAAGAGCTGGTTCTCTTAATAATGCTAACTCTTTATAGGACTTGACTCCATGAGGCTTAGAGCAGTCATTTAAGTGTGAGGTGGAGGAGGTCAGAAGTTACCTCAGGTGGTACCGTCTTGCAGGAACAGATTTTTCTTCATTTTATGATCAAAGCGATCGAGATATGACCATGGAATCTTTTAAATCTTGCACCTTTTCATAAAAATTTTGCTTTTCATTTTAGACTTCTGATACAGTATCACTGAACAATTATCTTAAAATATCTTGTCTCAGTCGGTTATGAGAAGAAAGCAAACATTCTTATTCTTTATGTAATCACCTTCTTGCTGTATGCCAAATCCTCTCTTCATTATGATTTGGTCACCACTAGAGTTGTGACCTCTTCAGGTGAAATAAAGGTTTTTTTCTCTGCTGTGCCCTACTAGAGCACTCTCAGTTTTTTAGGAAGTACTAAGTGCTCACAGTAAATGCCAGAGCAAAAAGTCAAGTGAAAAGTCTTCTGTCTCCAGAACAGGCAGGCTAAGGAATGAGTAAAGTTACCCATTGAGTCAATCAAGACAAAAGGTCAGAAGAACGTCATTACCATTCTCATTCAGTCCAAAACTGCTATTTAAGAATGCTTTTACTCAGTTACTTAAATACTTACATCTGTGCCTACGTTTTCATAACTTCGTAACTTGTGCTCTAGTATGGTAACTGAAGCCTGCAACATACTTTTATATGTCATGAAACAGTAAAATGTTAGTTCAAAACAAACAGGTAATGCCAAGATCATCTAACGGTGAGAAACTATTTTCTGCAAGTCACTGGCCTATTCTGTTCCCGTGATTTATATTTATTTTCTAATGGCCCAGTAGCTGACTAGAACTGCGAGTAAAAGACAAAAATACCATTAACTCTGTCCCATAGTCGAGGATGTTGACAAAGAGTGAATCGGTTCCCTCCGTCTCCCGGGGAGATGGCTTGGACTCCAGCTTGGCCACTGTAGTAGAAGTGACAGAAAGCAAAAGGTTCTTTGCCTTGATGGAGAAAAGTGAGAGTTTTATCTGAAGCTACTTGTAAACAATTTCTGTCAAAGCAGGAAATTTGGAAAGACACGTGTCCCATCTACCTGACCTTTGAGGCATTTAGAAGTGTGCAGTAGTAGTTACTGGAATTGTAGAGTATAAGCAGTGGGAAATTAGTGACTTAAAAAGGGAGAAGTAAACACCTCTGAAGGGTCTCTGTTTTCTCAAATGTTAATGTTAACTGGGTATTTTACAAGGATCTGAGCATATAAAAGCAGTAAAGGACAGATGTGTGAAAGAATACTGGATAAACTAAAGGAAACTCTACCTCATTCTTCTCTAAAGGTTTTGTAGAAGCACAATTAAGCGCTCCTAACGGCATTGTTACGTACAGACCATCTGGCATGAAAGAAACACTTTATATTTGTATGTCTATAAATCCTGTAATAACTGTATTTTGCTGGCAGTAGAAACAGTCTATACTATTTGCAGTTTTCCTCATCAAATCTGTAATTATGCAATGTTACTGTCTCCAATAAAGGATTTTAATGGGCACCTGTTTGTGGTATGTTATGAAATCATCATTGTTGAGTACAGCTAACTAAGCATAATGATCCCATAGATGGGAGCCGTTATGAAATATGTTCCTGAAGGCTGGCTTAAAAAGGAAAAAGAATTACTGAATGAATTATGGCACTTAAGAGCAGCAGAGCAAGATGCGAGTGGTGAGAGAGAAGCCAACTCTGTAGTCAAAATGTAAAGCCCGTATCCCGCCTTCTGGCTTCCACTAAGGTCTGGTGTGACACTGGGAGGGAAGAATGAGGCCCTAACAACAGCAGACCTCCATTTCCCCTGCCAAGCCCGGAGGCTGAGCCAGTTGTTTCACTTACAGTAAAACGCTGGACAAATCAAGCAGCAAAACTTACTCCCTACCTGCTAACTGTGTAGTCATGAAGCAGCTTTGAACACACCAGGACTACGCAGTGGTGATTGAACTTGGCCACCATGCCAAGGGGTTTGGGGGGATGAACTCAAGGGAGAGAAGAAAGCCAGAAAATAACTTTCTACTTTGAGCACTTACTTCACAGGTGTCGTGGTTTGGCCTCAGAGGGCAACAAAGGACCACGTGCAGCCGCTCGCACACACAGAGCCCTCACAGCCACGCGGCCGGGAGGGGAAGATGGGAATAAAAGGCAAAACTCGTGGGTTGAGACAAAGGCAATTTTAACAGAACAGAACAAAGAGCAATAACAATAACAGAGGGGTATACAACCGCGATCACGATACCGCCGCTCGATACCGCCGCGCGCCGACCGCTCCCGGGACGCCCCCGACGCTCTCCTCCTCCGGGGGTCACCGCCTCCTCCCCCCAACTTCCTGTCCCCTCCCCTTCCCGGCTAGCTCCGGCTACCCCTTGGGCATGGCTCACATGGGATGGAATACTTGTGTCCCTCCTAGGGCCTGGGGAGAATTAACCCCAGCACTGCCAGACCCAGGACAACAGGGCAGTTTTGAAGAGTCATTACTCTCAAGAATGCCAACCAATGGGAAGCCCTTTGAAGAGGGAAAGCGCTGAAAAGCGAGTGTCATGAAAATCTTGCCATTTGCCATGTCTAGTAGCTATATTTACCAAAATACTTGGCGTATTCCCCCTTTTTAGTGCAGGGGAATACTGTGATTAAAGGTAGCGCTGATCCCTGCTGTGGTAAAGTACACATCAGGGTAAATTTTCCATCTGGTTTGGTTCTGGGTGACTTCAGAGAAAGCTGGCATGGATATGGGACGCTTTAAAGAAACTGTAGACAGGTAAGTACTAAGAGTTGTTAATTACTGTTAGGAGAACGAGCCTAACACGTCAGAATCAGACTTCGTTCCTGTGTTTTGGCCTCTCCACTTTCATCCTAAGGGAACCTTTCTTGACTGTAACTTCAGCTTCAGTAAGACTCAAAACTTGCTTATCCCACCTACTAATAATTAGAGGACTGGTCTTACAAGGTGCTGAGTGGGCTTCAGGGACAGACAGACAACAACACTCAAAAGACTCCTTTTTCCTTCCCTTTTGAAACATCTCAGCAGCTGGCAATAGTTCTGTTCAGTAAAGCACTTGCTGCAGTGCCACCACCAGCGCTGTGTTCTTGGGGGTGGAGAGTATCGATGCCGAGGACTCTGGTCTGGGTACACATAGTCTTGTAAAGTTGATGTGACAAAAAAAAAAATGTTTTAAAATATTACAGGGGGAGGACGAAGCAGAAGGAAAAAAAACAACCTGCGTTGTGTACATATAAACAGGGCAAGGAGAAAAGTTGGGGATTCCAATATAGGCAGCTAATATTAGAATTAGCAATGCCAGTCTTGAAGGTATATCAACAAAAGTGTTCAATTTCAGGTTTTTTCTGCCTTTCCTTTTGCTCAGTGTTCTGATATTGTGGCATCACAGCGGTGATTTTACCGGAGTTACTAAAGAATTACCCTGTTGCCAAGAAGAGCAAAATTTTCTGTAGTAGCGCCTTTGTTGTTCTGGATGCTCCTCCACAGAGGAACTTGCAAAAGCAAATACAAGAAGGTGGAATGTGTCTGCTTTTCTCTCTCCCAAGGGAATGATTTTTAATGCCAGGTAAGAAAATGCTTGTACAACTTCACCTGCAGGTGGTATTACGTTGTATCTATACAAATCTGGGATATTAAATTCGGAGCATTGCCAATGCCATGTTCAATAAGACAAAGCTGTTTATCTTAAATTCACCTAAGTTCTTGTGGGTTATTCAAAGAATTTACATTCTTCTGAAGTGATTTCAGAGGAACTTGCACTTTATAACGTGGGGTTTTTTTTTTTCATCTTGCTCATGGAATAATTCTTTTCAAAGGTTCAACTTTGGTTAAATATATGCTGGGAGGCTGCCACCACCAGGAACGCTATCACCTGTAAAACAGCTCGGGCTGTTCCAACTCTCGTTTTGACAGGCATGAAATTCATCCAGTGTCCCACACCCAAGCCAAACACAAAGGTTGTGGCTCACCTGCCTTTCAGGTAAAGCTTAGATAGACCATCACCAAGCAGAGCCAGCGGAAACACTGATTTCATTGGAAATCTCAAATTCGACTGGCCTTAGCTCAGACCCTAACTTGAGGTGGCTTTCGTGCTCTGAGCGTGATGAAAAAGAATTGCTCTGCTCTTATTTCCAGCTGCTCCATCCCTGAGCTTCCCTTTGTGGCACTGCTGGCTCCAGAGCAGTTGCAGGGTGATGGGATCACTGCCTGACCCACAGAAAGGGGGAAGCATATGCCCAGGACGAGCGGGACTGCTCTTCTCACCGCGGCGCAGAGCTTCTAAGGAGCTGAAGCCAGTGAAGAAGCCGCTCCCCTATGAAATGCTAGGATTTGAATATTTCCCAGGTGCTAGCCGCTTTTATTATGGCTCTTAAACTTTTATGCACCAGACCTTGCTTAAGTCATTGCTGAATTCTGGGTTCTTTTTTTTTTTTTTTTTTTTTTCTTCCTTTAGCTCATATCATCCTTGTGCCTGAGCAAAGTCTGCAGTATTTGCTTTACTGTGTGGTTGTGAGGTCCCAGGTTGGAAAAGAAGGGAGTTTATGAAGATTTTGCATCTTCATCATAAGGGCGTGGCTGAAAACTGATGAGAATAAAGATAGTGGAAAACACAGCCATCTTTTTAGGAACTTTCAGTGCTTGAAAATTTGAAGAAAAAAGTCACAGATCCAACTACTGTCCCACTTTTTTTTTTTTACCTCTAGGGATAGGGTACCAACCATCCTATTGCTCTGGATCCTACTAGCCAAGACATTGTTCCTAAATCTTTATAAACTTCACATCATTTCCTTCCTCCACCACCGAGTCTATTATATCATGCAAAAAACAGAAAACCTGAGTGGTTTGTCAGCTGCTTGTACTCCTGTCTCAAAAATGCACCCCCACAAATACCAGCCTCTAAGTGTAACTTTTTTCATGGGTTCCCTTTGCTATTCCTTCCGTTTGCAGTTGGAATATTTTTGTGGCTTTTGAGAAAAAAAACAAACAGTTGAGTCTGAAAGAAACTCAAGGTCAGAAATTCTCCCTTATTTTTGCTGCCAATTGGTTTATACAGAGGGTTTTCCCTCTGAAGGGGGAGGGTCAGTAACTCATTGGTGATGGTGTTAGGCTGGGAAGTGCTAGTAGCTGCTATTAGGTGAGTCATTAATCCAGAGATCTTCAGGTTTGTCGATGGCTGTGCTAAGAAATTTTCAGACTGCAGAGTTTGTAGCCTCTGTGTACATCAAGGCGAAGAGCAGAGAAAGGTAGCACTGCCTATGTTTTTTGAAGGAGCAAAGAAATGCAGTTTTGGGAATGTAGGGTTTAGTTACTTGCATAGCATGCTTGAGGATGCCTGAGTGAGGAACCTATCTTGTGTTGTTTGGTCTCATCACATTCCTGAAATGAGAGCTTCTTTTTAAGAAAATAATCAACCTAAACCAATAATATTACCTAAATTCATTGCCTGTATTTTTGCTGTCATGGAAATAATCTGGTGAGACCCCAAATGCTGGTGCACTTTTTTCCTGGTGCAGTTTGATCTCCAAAGAGGCAAAGCATATTTTTATTTATTTATTTATTTTTTATTTCAGAGAGAGTTTTTTTTTTAGGCCAGGTGGCTGCTCTGTTTGTGAAAGATCAGTGTTACTGGGTTCCTGCCTTGCAACTCCTTACTTCTGCTAAGGTGGATCTGAAGAGCTTGATTGGCCCTTGGAAGGATTCCCTTTGTTAGTCTCTATGCGGCTACAGCCGAGCAGCACAAAGGAGAACTTCTTATTCCACGTTTCATTTCACGCTCCAACAAAAAAAGATATCAACATCTGTACTATTTCCCCACTTTTGCACTTGTGTGCAAGCTTTTTCAGACTAAGATAACATCAGCTCAGAAGTTGAGAGATGTCAATAAGGCTCCATTTGAGGCTGAGAAAAGAGAAATTCCTCCCAATTTTACAGGATAAGATGATATTTAAACACAAACTTTATTTTCTGAACATCGATGTGTCTCTGCCAAACCTCACAGCCTCTTTGTGGCAACTTTTTCCTGGAAAGAGAAAGTAACATGAACAAGGCTTTATTATCTGTTACTACGATATTAAGCAGCATGAGGGAGAGCCAGCAATGTCTGACCCAGTGCGACTCCCATCAAGTCATATATGAAGTTCAGGGAAAAATTAATCTGCTGTAGACTTGTTCAGCCTGTTTTAACCATTTCTTTTTCTCTGATAAAATATATATAGTCAGGAAAAAGAATTTTGTGTTTGTGTTGAGCTTGTAGCCAGAAAAATGTATGGTTTTCATCTTAAAAAATAAAAAGTAATTTTTCAGGGAAAAAAAAAATTGTGACCCAGAGATCATCAGTAATCAACCAAATATATTTTAAAAATTATTGTTTCATTCAGTCAGAAGATAATAAGTTTGAGATCTTTCACAGGAAAACTGAAAATCAAACTGCAATTACAGTAAATTGCTAAAACCATGTAGGTCTGTAACTACTTATTTTTAAAAGATGTTGCTTCTCTTGGTTTCTG